GTGCTCCTCCCATGGCTGTGCTCCAGGAGGGCAAGGGGTGATCGGAAGGATGGTGTGGCAGGAGAATCAACTGGTCTTGGCAACGCAGCAACAGACTGCACGTGGAAGAGAAGAGAGGGAGGGAGGGACAGGGAAGGGAAGATCAGTCCTTGGGACCTAAGATGTGCCGGGGCCCACGCTGGCTGCTTTCCATGCGACTTCACATGGGTGGTCTTAGCGACACTGTGAGGTAAAGCATTTCATCCCCATCTTACAGATGAGGAAACTGGCTCCGAGAGGGCAAGGTCTTGCCCAGATGGACTCCTAGTTCTTCTGACTCCAGAGGCTGTGTTCTTCCCATCACCACTTGTAGTTTTCTGGCCTTTGGGGCCTGCAGGGAAATGCTCAGTCCCAGGCCCGCAGCTCACAACGGACCAGCTTCTGGCCTGGCCAGGAAGCCATAGATGGGGCAGTGTAGGCGCTCCCCGGGGGCAGAAGCGGGTATAGACAGATCTGAGACCCAGCTCAAAGGGCTATAGTAGGCAAGAGCAGCGACATGGGCAAGACCAGGGATGTGATGAGAAAAGGAGAGGAATTAATTTGTACGAACTCGCAGGGCCTAAGCCTGACAGTGCCTGGGAACCCAGCTCCATCCCAGGTGCCCGTCTCCAGGGACATGGGCCCTTGGGGGAGATGCAAGCAGCTAATAAGGCTAAGAATGGAGGAAGGAGCCAGAATTTGAGGAGCCATCTCCCTCCCTCCCTGCAGCTTTCTCTCCTGTCTGCAGTTTATTAGCACACACAAAGGCACGCAGTCACAATACACAGGCTACACAACCACATATCCAGCCACAGACACATGACCACACAAACACACAGTGCCACAAGCACACACATACAAGGACTCACTCGCATACAGTCTCTCACACACACACACACACACACACAGGGCTACATGGGCACAGAGTCACACGACCACCTGCAGTTACCCTGACTTACAGACGTCCAGGTACAGGGCTTGCAGATAAACACACACAGAGTCACACAACTTATGCACTCACACACACTCACACAGAACCAGAGGACTGTTCCCAGGGAGGCCACTGCCTATGGACGTCACTCAGGCATGGGAAGGGTGTGAAGTGTCCTCAGACGTCTTTATTGCCATTGTCTGGGACAGGAAGTTGCCTCTCTGACCTCTTGGGGTCTGTGGTATGAGGGGTGTCATTCACCCACAGTGACGTTGACTCAGGCCCCACACAGGGGTGGGGTGGGGTGGGATGGGGTGTGGTGACTGGCCCTGAGGGAGGTCAAGGGCAGCTCGGGAGTGTTGTGGAAGAGGCAATTTGCCTCAGTGGGAAGAGCAGACCGGAATACGGCAGATCAGTTCCCATCCTCTTGCCAGCCTCTCACTGGCTGTGACCTTGGACGAATGACTTCACTTCTCTGAGTGGCAAGGTCCAGCAGTAAAAGGGAGATAATGACACCAACCTCACAAGGCAGTTGGGAGTACTAACACAGATAATGGCTGTCAAGTACTGGGCAGAGGGCCTGGCAAATGGTGGCAATAACCATAATGGTTGTGATGGCCACAGGAGTCAGTGTGCGGGGACACCAAGGCCCGCTCAGGCTGAGGCAGGGCTGGAGGGCAAGAGAGGACTCCCAGTGGCAAGGTGTGTGGCTGGCCCAGCCATGGCCCTCTCCATACCTGCCTAAACAATGCCAGTCCCCAGCATCATCAAATGGTCCCAGAAAAGCAGAGCCTCAGGAGACTCAGAGCTTGGGGTTTAGGGTGGAGTGACCTTGCCCACCCTGACCTTGGAGCAGGAGGGCAGTGGGCATCAGGAGGACCGGGCCGGGGCAGCAGGCTCAGAGGCAGCTCTGCAGTGGGCCCCACCGGTGTCTGTTGCTGAGCACTGGAGGGGCTCCTGGGGTTCTCTCCAGCAAGCTCTGTGGCAGAAGATTCTGAGGGCTGGTCACTGGGGTCCCCATGTGTCTTAGGAGCACCCAGCTCTGGGGGCTGTGGAGAAAGGGAACACAGCCCGAACGATGAAGGAAACTTTCCAAAATGGAAAAGGCACACAGCTGGCAGCCCTCCGCCCTCTGGTGGCCTCCGGTGCTCACTGCAGCCTCACTGCTTTGTTCTAAGGCCCTCTTCTAGGCCAGATAGCTCAAGGCATAGTGCTGAGGAACTGTCAGTCAGCACGGGAGTGAAGGGCAGACCCCGGGGCTGGATGGCCTAGGTTTGAAATCCTGCCTCTACTGCTGCTGCCATGATTATTACCTCTCCCACTTACGAGCCAGATGACCCTGGGCAAGTGATAATCTCTTTGTGGCTCAGAGTCTTCATTTGCAAAATGAGGTTGATAATAACAGGATCGACCACACATTTGAAGAGTAAATATGATGATCTACATCAAGTGCTTGGAATAAGTAATCTTAAGTAATAAGTGGTAGCTGGCCTATTCTGCACTTCTGGGGTCAGCATTGTTTAGCGGCCCTGTTTGAGAGCTGGGAGTAGGAGACAGCCCTGACCTGGGTTGAATTCTGGCTCTGGTGCAGCCACTTCCCCAGTTTGTGCTTTGCACATGTTGACTAGTCACGTATCACATGGAGGGAGAGACACAGGGAGGGAAGCGCAAAATCCCTCTTGAAAATCCTTTAGGAAGACACCATGTTGGGGACAAATACATCAAGTCTCAATAAGCCCAACAGGGCCAGTTTTTCTAATTCTTGGTTATAGTCTGTCTTTGCAGTAGCTGGCTCGCATCCAAGGGCAATGTTGTACAGAACGTGTGTATGTTTATGCACTGGAATCACACTCAGCGGCGAGCTGCTCGTGCAACCAGATACCAGTTCTCATCACAGGTTTGAATTTTCCATCTCACACTCACTGAGGGGCACGTGTTCATCACAGGTGGACACTCACTACCACATAAGGTTTCCAGTCTCTTTCTGGCCAAGACTGCATAGTTGAATTTGAGTGCTTTGATGGAATGCATTCAGGACACAGCTGCATCGTGCCTCAGCTCTCTGAAGCAGTTTCTTCTTCTGTAACATGGGGCAATAACAGTACTACAGTATCAGGTTCTTGTGTAGATCAGACAATATGTGTAGGAATTTTAAATTCCTGCCAGGTAAATGACATTCTCCATTCCTCTCCCCCACACCCCCCCAATTTTCCCCTAACTAGATGTGTGACTTTGAGCAAAGTCACTTTCCTTCTCTGGGTCTCCGTGTTCTCAACAACAAAATGTAGGGGTTATATCAGGTAATTTCAAAGGCCCCTTCTAGCTTGAGGCTTTCAAGATCGCTCGGAGATTCTAGGGCATTTAGACGCAGTCTCCCCTTCTATGAATGCTAACTGATGCTTACATGGTTTTTCCAGGACTGCTTTATCTAACTGGTAAGGGCACATCTATAAGTAGCAGCCCTTTTCACACTGTAACATGTTAAAGCCTTGGGAATTACATATGCATCTTAATGATCTTACTTTTCTTCATTTGATCAGCACAAAGGGATCAGATTTAACTGTGTCCTCTACTCCAGTCCTTCAGAGGCATTACTGATGACCAAAATTTAATTGTGATGGGAGAACAGCAGAGCTCCTCCCTCCAAGCGACACACACACACCCTCACTGGGTAGGTGGGCACTATCCCCGGCTTTAGGACAATTCCTTTTGGAAGGCAGTGGGGTAAAAGGAAATGTGCTTTAGAGTCAAGCCCAGACTGAATTATTCCAGACCCTCTACTAGCTGTGAGAACTCAGGCTAAGTTAACCTTTCTGAGCTTCAGTCTCCCCTCTGTAAAATTGCAGTAAGTAGATAGTATGGGTTAAGTTAGAAGCAGCCAGAGGCCTTGGGCAGGATCATGGGATTGGTGGGAAGCTCGCCCCTTCTTGAGACAGACTGCAGCTTCAAATCAACTTCCACCAGTGGTGTTGGCCTGCCCATTGCTTAGCCTCTGAGCCTGTATCCACATCAATCAAGTTGGGACATCACCACTTACCTCACAGGATTGCTGTGCTTGGTTCTTTACTAGCAACCCATCACTTCTCCAGCTTCAATCCCCTCCCCACCCCCCATGCTAATCTAGCTTCCACGCCTGCCTCAGAGCAGTGGTATAAACGGAAACCCCATCTCCTGGCTGTCAAGGACCCTTAGAAGACTCAAATAGCCCAGGCCCACTCTGAGGCTTTCCTAAACCAGTGCCCCAACTCTCAGCATGACCTAACTCCTCACCACGAAAATCTTGCCTTGCAGGGCACACCTTCAGAGTAGCCTCCCTGGGCAGTTCCCCTGGGCTGGCATTTGCTACCTGTCCTGGGTAAATTTGCACCCCTAAGGGCAGGAACTGTGGCTTTCTCATCTCTGGATTTGTCATGGGAAGGCCTGACACAGTGTGTGCTCAGCAAATGTTAAGAAGCTCCACTCTGACCTTTTAGAAATACCTCTCTGGGAAGGCAGTGCTGGGGTCAAGAATGGGGTTAAGGGTAGGGGGAGGGAGAAGGGAGTTTCCTTGGAAGTAAGAGAGGAGGGTATAAAAGAACATGACATTGAAGTCACAGGACCTGGATTCAAACCTCAGCTCTGCCACTTGCCAACAAAGGATGTGGGTAAGCCATCATACCTCCATCTGAGTTGTCCCCATACTGCAAGGTGAGCAAAACAATAGCTACTTAGCACAGTACCTGGCACACACTGAGTCCTTTTTTTATGTTCCAGGTGCTATTCTAAATGTTTAAATGGATTAATTTAATTCCACTGTAACTCTAGGAGATTAAGTAGTAGTATCCTCATTTTATAGGCACTGCAAAGGAGGAACAGGAGGCTCAGAGAAATGACCTTCCTCAAGTTCACAGAGCTAGTGAGATGTTTAATAGATGGTAGCAATGACTGTTCTGAGGCAGCAACACATGGGACACAATCTCCAAGACCTGAAGGACTGACTCTGGGGTCTGGACCAGCTCCAATCTTGTTCCCGCAACTTCAGCAAAGGATACAGACCAATCGGTGTTGTAAATAGAGTTAACATAATATATTTATTTTAAGTGCCATTCATGCATATCAGTTCTGGCAGCAACAATCCTAATGACACTTGGAATATTTCTTTACAGCACTAAACAGTTACAAAGAATGGGTGCCGTTCATCATAGAGGCAAAATATGAAATCGTGCAATAGCAAAACCGTAGAAACATTAAAACACTGACTGTCCAACAGCAGTACAGAGAGATTGTGTTTGCACAAAAAGCCAATGCATTTTCATCACATATATACAATATAGATATGTACACATCACCCTCTGAATGAACAATATCAAAATACTCTTCCATTTGAAATAATCCCCAGATTGATTCCCTCCCACTTCAAAGGACATCTGAGAGACATGTATTTACAAGAACACACATGAATACATTTACATTTCAAAAACTGCCACAAATGCCAGTCGGATTATTCTCCTGGACAGAGTGCCCCACCATTTGATTATATGCATTTATTCTTCTTTTCCCCCCAAGTCAATTTAAGTCTTCAGTCAATTTAAGTCCAAGACGGAACTTGCTCTGCATTAACAACTACCAACTGCAATGGCCACTAGAGGGAGGCCCTGCTCTCACCAGGTAGCCCTGTCTGGCTGGAGCCCACTGAGAAAGCCTGTCCTGGGCTCCTGGACCACCTGAACCACAAGAGTGAGATGGGTCTGAGTGGAGGCTCACTCTCCAGGGCCATTCTTGGTAAGCTTAAATTCTCATTAAAATATTGATCACTGCAAATCAGTAAGTGATTGCCAAATGGGAAATCTGCTTCACACAATTTGTCAAATCTTCATCAGTGGCTTCCACTCAAATCATTCACTAGAACAGACTGCATTCTAATACCCAAATTGTTTAAAGTGCACATTGCTACCCAAGCAATTTAAAGTTTCAAACAGCTATTTTGGGATCTAGAAAACAGTGACTTGAGCAGACTATTGAAAATCACCTCCCTTTTTTTTTAAGCTTTTACTCTGCAGGCTGCTATCTCATCTTGCCTCTGATCCATCTAAGAGGGGCCTGTTGGCTGCCTTTCCAGAATCCTCTGATTTTCACCAATCCAAGGGGCTGGAAACTGAGCTTCCTTCTTCATGCCAAGCAGGGTCCAAACAACAGGAACACAGAGCCCTTCCTTTCTCCCCAGCCTCACCAGCCTTCACCGTGGCTGGCTTCCCAGTGATTCCTTCAAGGCAACACTCCATTAAAAATGATACCCACACCCGTTCACAAACACTCTCACATACATACATACATACAGAAACAAAAATGTGTGTTTAGTTCAAGTAGAGGTTACTCAACCACAGAATCACTAAGGCTAGCTAATTAAAGGATTTAAGCACAGCTGACACAGACCAGAGAAGCTAAAAAGCAACCTGTGAGCAGTTACTACTCCTTGATTTGATAGAACGTATCATTTCCCCATTAGAACTGAAAGAAATCCCGCTTTTTTGGTCTAAAGAACCAATTCAAAATCTATTCATTAAAAAAAAACTCATTTTAGTTTTATTATAAAACTAAGACAATGAATCCATGCAAAGTAACTGTGATATGACATGAAATAATCTAAAAAACAACTAATAAAAATCCCTACGAGGCAGGCCACATTTCAAAGAAAGTAACCAAATGTCATGCCCACAGGACAACAGAAACAGTAGGCTACATAATAATAATTGCACTGAAGACTGAGGCAAATAAAACCTGTGTGTGGCTCTATCCTCCTTTCAGTGTTTCCTAAATGGAAAGAGAGTAAGTGCGGGATCTTGCTTTATAAACTGCCCTGCTGTTCTGTTGCCCAAATGAACTCCGATTCAAATTTCAGAAAAATCCTATTTAGCTATCAACAGGAATGCTAAGATAGAGAAATATACTCACATGGTAAAAGGAGTGATGATAAAGAGGTGACACAATCTCTCTCTGATTGTCTTATCTGTAAACTCTTACCAAGAAAAATAATTCTGTGCTTTCAGACACATTTCTCATTAGTGAACCCAACAGGAGCTGAGCATTCACAGAAGGTATCAATAAATATTAAAATAACACTTTTGAATAATAAATACATAAGTGAATATGGAGGCATTGATTTGATTAAAGAGCCAAGCAATGCCCAGCTTCTAATTGATCAAATAAATCTTAGAACTGTTATAATGCAGATTTAGGAAAACAGAGATGGACAAGGTACAACATAAACTCTATAATCCCCTAAGCATCAAGACAAATTTGGTCAGTTCTTTATGCTGCTCAGGAACAACATGCCCCTTTGGACTGTTTGGAGGCTATCAAACTCTGGGTTCTTTGACTTACTGAGTGGAAATCAACACCCACATTTCTGAAAAAGATTAAATAAGGGGAACTGGACTTTGAAAAAATCTATTTCCTTTCAGTTGCCCACATCAGTTAAAAGCATCCTGCAGAAAATAGCCTAACAAGGAATAAAAACTCACAGTAACTTTCTTTTCAAGGCATAATAATCCAATTAGAAAAACATCGAAGCCTTTCAGTAATTTTTGTACATATATTTACACATATGTATCTATAAACTGCTTGCAGCAAAATAGGCTCTGTCTGAAAAATCAGTCTGGCACTTGTGGTCAACATCAAACTGACACAAATATGCAAAAGCCGTTCAAATCACACAACAGTTAGGAGCTACATAGGGCAGCTGGCAGGGAGACAAACATGTAGTACTTGTTTGGGTCAGATAAAAGCAGTAAGTTATCCAGCTAAAATCTTTCTGATTGTCTTCAAAAGAAATTTCGGTAACATTGGTAAAGTGATTAGCAACTTTGTTTTCTCAACTGGATTCTCTTAAACCTTTCCCTTCATTGCACAGAAAGGGGACGCCAGGTCTGATGCCTTGCAGAAACAAGTTCTACACAATTGAATCCCAATCAAAGTCATCCTGGATGTCATCTGGAGGCAGAGAGCGCCGCATCTGGAAGGCTTGGGAAGGCATCATGTGCTGCTGGTTCATGGCTCCGTGATGGCCTGCAAGGAAGCAGGCAATGTCAACAATGACTTGGGAGGGGAAGAAAGGAAGCAATAAATGAACACCTACCAAGCATTCCTATGTGCCAGGCACTCAGCACACATCCTCTCACTAATCCACTCAGAAGCCTTCAACAAGGGTGCTCTTATGACCTTCATTTTATAGGTAAGGGGTCCTGGGTTTAAGGGGATGAGCAAGTTACCCAAAGTCATATAACTTGTAAGGAGAAGAAACAGGATTTGTACTCAGTTCACATGACTCCAAAACCCACACTCCTTCCGTTACACCAGGCTGTAGCAAGGAGGGCATATAAACAGTGCTGGAGTGCCCAAGTGCTGACGCATCCATTTCTCTCAGTCTGTTCTGCTTCAGTACATGTTTCAGTAACACGAACTGACTCACATAAGACCGGTAAACAGGAGAATGATGCCAGTGTACCAATGAAGTCATATTGCGTACTAGTGAATTTTTCCCAGCAAGTTAATTTTTGTGCCACCAAGTAACAGCAGGTGAACACAGAGAACATCATCACGGTTGAGTGCAGTAAGCCAGGGAGAAACACAGCTGATTACATGATGCCCACTTTCTCCATGCTCTTCTTTTTTTCTCTTTTTGTTGAGGAAGTCAAGCCTTGAGCTAATATCTGCCAATCCTTCTCTTTTTGCTGAGGAAGACTGGCCCTAAGCTAACACCCATGCCCATCTTCCTCTGCTTTATATGTGGGATGCCTGCCAGAGCATGGCTTGATGAGCGGTGCCATGTCTGCACCCGGGATCTGAACTGGTGGACCCCGGGCCGCCGAAGTGGAAGGTGCACACTTAACTGCTGCACCACAGGGCCAGCCCATGCTCCTCTTCTTGAATCAAGTGTGCTCCCAATTTTAGTGCATTCTACCTTGTCTACATAGCTTTCACAAACCTTGTTCCAAACTAGATTTGTTTATTCTTTTAAAGTAATGATCTATATTTTACTTGTAGAATTCATCCTTTTATTAGGAAGTAAACATATCCTTTCAACTGCTATAGAATTTTTACTGGATTATTATAGTATTTGTTAGTACTCTGATTATAAAGTTTCAAGTAGTAGTCTGCTGCTAACCTTTTTCTCATAAGCCCTGTAATTTATAATGTAGTTTTACAAAACAGTAAAGTTGTCAGTATATTACAGCACAGCAGCAATGCCTATATTTATTTTTTTTAAACTTACAAATTGCTTACTACGTGCCAGACACTAATTTAAGTGATTTACATATAATCCTCATTTAATTCTCTGAACAACCAGGAGTTAGGTAATGTTGTCCCTTTTACACACAGGGAAGCTGGGCTGGAGGGTTAGGCAGCTATCAAGTGGCAAAACACCAGGAATCAAACTCTGGGAATCCGGCTCCAGAGTCTTAACTAGCATGTCTTGCCACCTACAAATTACTGGTGAATGTTGAGGACAAGTAACATTCACTCCTTCCCCTTCATCAAAGGATATGTCACTTGGTCTCAACTCCTCCTTCACTACTGCCCGGCACACAGTTCTTTGGGGGTTTCAAATCCACTCCTCCACATTACCTTTTGTCTTTTTCTCAAATAGCCTAAGTAAAGGGTAGTGTGATATAGAAAAACAATGAACTCTGAATGCAGACATCAAGGTTTGAGTCTAGGTTTGTTGACTTACCAACCTGGGGGCTCTGGGCAAGTAATCTCCCTTTCTGAGCCCCCATTTCCTCAAAAGAATCCCTAAGATCCCTTCCACCTCTAACAATGGGCCTCTGCAGCCCTGCTAAATGTAACTTATCCTACCTTCAGGAACCCGGGGGAAAGCTGATGAATTACTTAACTCCCAAAACTTACCTCCTCTATCAGGCACTTCCCTAGAAATTATAGCTGGGGGAACTTCATCAGAATGAATGGAGCAGAATATTCAGGTGCTAATCAAAGTAGGTTCTTGAAGCCTGCTGAAGTCCTGTTAAAGTCAAATAGCCTTAAAGAAAACTAAGACACCAAGGACAAGCTCTATGACTCTAGACCTCTTAAAAAGAGAGGACAAAGAGAGGGCTAAAAGAGACTCTAGGTCATACTGTCTAAACACCAAATGACACTTGAATCCTTTCACCAGCACTGGAGCCCAGCAAGTACCTATCTAAACTTCACACTCTACTTCCCTTAACAGAGAGGTCACTTCCTCCTGAGGCAGCCTTGTTCATCGTTGGGACAACTAAAGCTTTCCAACATTAGGCTCTACCAACTGCAACACATCACACCCCAGATTACCTGCAATAGTTGTTCCTGGAGTGCTGAGTGCCTGTGGGATATGAGGATAACCAGGGGGCGGCATCACTGAAGGAGGGAGATTTTGCCTGGAGTCTATGTACAAATTTCCTGATCAGAATGAAAAGCAGAAAGAAGAAAAACAAACATATTACCATAAGTAAAACAAATCAAGTATTAAAATCTTAATAGAATTGTTTTTGTTGTTAGTGCTGTTGAGCGGATTCTGACTCCTAGCCACTCTGTGTACAGCAGAGCTGAACCCTGCCGGCTCTTTTTTTGTGCCATCCTCTCATCTTCTGGCACTGTATCAGACAATGCTCTGCTGCTATTCACAGGGTTTTCATGGCCAACTTTTCGGAAGTGGGTGGCCAGGTCCTTCTTCCTAGTCTGTCTTGGTCTGAAAGCTCCACTGAAACCTGTCCACAATGGGTGACCCTGCTGATATCGGAAAATACAGGTCGCATATCTTTCAGCATCACAGCAACACGCAGCCACCATACTATGACAACCAACAGAAGGGTGATGTGGTTCCCTGACAGAAAAATGAACCCGGGCCACAAAGGTGAGAGCCCCGAATCTTAACCACTAGACCACCAGACAGAACTGTTACTTAAACCTAAATCAAGCAGATAAGATGAGGAAGAAAAGGGAAAGAAAAATTACTCCTTTCAGATGCTAAAACTCTGCCAAAAGGTGGTGCCGGCTTTTTGAACATGGTGCCAGGCTGGGTATGAATACACTGGTACCGACTCTGGCACTGCCTCTAGAAGCTTCTATAGGTAAGTTATGTCTGTTGCTGTTGTTACATACATCATTACAGTTCAAAAGCATTTTCATATCCCTCACTTCACCTGAGCCTCCCACTAAGCCCACAACGAGGCAGGACAGGGATTATACCCATTTTATGGATGAGGCAACTGAGGCTCAGAAAGGCGAAGATGACTTGCCCAAAGACACATCAGTTTGACAGGGGTAGGGCTAGAATCCAGTGTTCCTAACTCATGTGCTCTTTCTACTAACGGTTGTCCTTACTGCCTTAATTTTCTCACCCTCAAAGCAGACCTGTATGTGCCATAGCTGATTAACAAAATGACTGGAGGCACAAAGCGATAGGAAAAACTGACACAAGGTAAAAGAGCTATATCAAGCAAAGGTGATTAAAAATGCATTATTTAGAAGTGTGGAGATGGGAAACACAGACCACTTAAATGGCATTTCAGAAGGTTCTTAAATTAATATATTTTTGTTGACAGGAGCCATCAAGTGTAATGGCTCCAAAATGTCAATTACATTGCAGCATAATGCAAAATAGAAAGGGAGGGGAGCAAACTCCTCCTGCCTCCTGCCAGTAACTCCTGGAGAAGAAGAACCACACACTGGCTCACATTGTAAGCAACACCTGGAATTCCAGAAAGGCTATCTCCCTAAGGTATTCTAGTGTTGCACACAAATTACACTTGCATTCTAGCAATGCTATAAGCAAACTAGAAAACAGCAACCATTTGCCTAGAGGAAACTAACAAGTGGAGAAAAATCTTCCTTTTGTACTCAAAGTAGAGCACACTATATTTGGCTGCTCACAAGTTTTCTCTTGCCACTAGAAAGTCAGACTGTCCAAGCTTGAGAAAGCCTCAAAGATAATCTAATCCAGCCCTACCTCTGTTCATGTAGATCAAGAATTGAGACCAGAGAGAAAATGAGATAGAACCAGGAACAGAACGCAAGACTTCCGATTTCCAGCCACTGTCTTCCAAGATGACATGCCTTTTTATAATGAAGTTTACAGTCAGAACTGAGCTCTTTGACCAATTTACTATACCGAAGATTTAGGAAGAGAAGAGAGGAGAAAGTGATACTAAGAAAAGTTAGAAGCTATTAGCTCTACAGCTACAGCTCTAGTATATTCTTGTGGCGGAAAAAAATCACATATGTGAATGGTGCACCTCTACAGGCTGCACCAGGCTAGGGGGCCACATCACTCTGAGTAATATGGTCACTCACTTGGCAAGGACTTCCCAGCCTCTGTGCTTACAAAATCTTGGCACTCTTTCTACTTATCCTTAAGAGTTCAGGTCACAATCAAAAGACAAAAACTGATTTTTAATGGAGATTAATCAGTTTTCATACATATATTTTTTCATTTCTCTTTTTCCACTTAGTAATTCTTACCTTAAAGCGGGAGAGGAGTGAGAATTAAAGAATTATGGGACTAAAAAAGGACTGCAAGAATAGACAGACACCCATATTAAACAAATAGCCTTAACTTTTAAAAATTGTCACATTCCTAACACTTTTATTTTCATATAGAAATTCAATTCTCATTACTCCTCATTTTTTCCCATGTTCTCATTATAGTCTGAACAATAAGAGTCTACATGGACTTCCTAAGCAAGAAATTAACTTCCAATGCAGTTTCCAAAAATTTTTGAGATCCTATAACAATTGGAATTTAGTTATGAGAATTTAAAAATCTAATTACACAATCTATTTATTGAAAGCAGACTCTTGTCAAATGGCCATTCATTCATCCAAGAAGTATTTATGTGCCCAGTCCTGCTCTAGGCACTAGGGACACTGAAATGAAAACACCAATCCCCTGTCTTTTTGGAGCTTATTCTCAGGAGTCAGGGGGAGAGGGGAGGCAGACAAAGTAAATTAAACAGTCCGTGATATATGCTATGGAGAAAGATAAAGCAGGGAGAGCGGACAAAGAGCACTGGACAGTAGGTGCCATTTACATAGGATGGTCAAGGAAGGCATCACTTGAGTAGGTACTTTCCTAGAAAAAACCTGAACAAGATGAAGATACGAGTCATCTCTAGACAGAGGAAGGCACAAGGATAAAGGCCCTGAGGTAAGTGGAGTGTGCCTGGTATATTTAAAAAACAGTAGGGAGGCCAGTGGTGTGGGAGGAGAAAAGGAGACAAGGTCAGAGAGTAATGGGTACCAGATTGTGGAGGGCCAAACAGGTCACCGTAGGGACTTTAGTCTTTACTGAGAAAAATGGGCACCAATGGAGGGTTTTGAGCAGAGAAGATAAGTTATCAGACCTCTCTGTCTTATAAAATCCCATTTATCCTGCACAGTCCTGCTTAAATACGTCATCTTCTATGAAGCTTTTCTAGCTCCCCAAGACAGTTAAGCCCCTTTCTCTTATTCCCATTGCCCTATGGTACAAGTATAGCCCTCATCATCCTGTATTTCCTGATAGACCTGTCTCATTTATCAGGGTATGAGTTCCTTGAGATTAGGGGCTATTTTGGAGTCACCATTTTAGTCCTAGTGCCCACCACATAATCAGGCACAGAAAAACCACAAATAAATGTCTGCTGAATGAAGGCATACCTACCCTTATTTAATGCCCTTTAAGCAGAGCATCAAATTAAGAACAGCACGGCTGGAGGACTTAAACATTACTGAGCAAGACAAACTATAAACACAGTGAAAATGATTTAAGAAGAGGTGATACCCTGTGTACTATAACATCCTTTTCTCCTTCCCCCTTACATACAACACGTTACAATACTCATTTCTGGTATCTCCAAAGAGCCCAAAGAGGTATTTACCAAAAGAGTAGTCTGGAAGACTGAAGCAACAGGGAAAGTTTGAAAGATAGAGAGAGGCTATATTATAGAAGTCAAGACCTATCCCCAAATGAACTTTGTAATTTTAGGCAAGTCACTTTCTCTCTCTGGATCACAGTTTCCTTATCTGTTACATAAAAGGAGAAAATTAACAGTTCTCTGAAGTCTCCTCTTGTGCTACATTTCTAACAAAATATGGCAAAGAATTATCGGTGGGTAGAGATGAAGGAAGTGAGATATCTGAATAAAACTGATATAGAGGGATGAAAGGAGGAGAATAAAAGAATGACAGAAAGAGGCTAGGACTTAAAACAAAGAAAGCAGGCTGGGCACATAAAAAACCTGAATGTTTGTGACTAGATATCAGTGGGCATGAGGTGATAAGTACTTGGAGCACCAGAGTTGATCAGAGAAAGTACTGACAGAGGCCAACACGGCTTGGCAGACCAGGGCTGGCTAAAGTTCCTTTGACTCAGAAGGAAAAGACTAAAGGGGAAGGGGAGGCGGGAGAGGAATAAGCACTGAGGAAAAATTGTAGTTCTTCTGCCTTTGACAGGCTGTGAATGGAGTAGCATTGAGAATAAAGAAGGACTTGTGGAGACCCTAGCGAGAAGGAAGGTATGGGTAACAAAAAGGAAAAGATGACAGAAAAAAATTAAGATAATCACAGAATACCAGAACCAAATAATCAAGGTCAAGGATCAAGAAGAGATGACAACAGATGTCTAGTGACAAAGGCTTTAGGAAAATAATACAGGATCTCAGTCTAGAGAGAATCCAGAAAGGGTGCTTAGCCAGTGTTGTTGCACCTCACCCTCAATGCTGCAAGGTCCTCCCCTCCAGCTGAACTGATTTCTAGGTAATTTAAAGGGCTGGTGCCCCTTTTTTCCCTCTTTCATTTGTCTTTTTTTCCCCCTTTCCAGAGCTAGACGTTAAAGACTAGGACATTGACCTTATGACCCAGCCATTCCACTACTGGGTATCTATCCAAAGAACTTGAAATCAGCAATTCCAAAAGTCCCATGCACCCTTATGTTCATTGCAGCATTATTTACAATAGCCAAGATGTGGAAGCAACCTAAGTGCCCATCAACTGATGACTGGATAAAGAAGATGGTATATATATCTATATACACACACACACACAATGGGATATTACTCAGCCATAAAAAAGGATAAAATCAGCCCATTCATGACAACATGGATGCACACTGAGGGTATTATGTTAAGTGAAATAAGCCAGACAGAGAAAGACGAACTCTGTATGACTCCACTGGTAAGTGGAAGTTAAACACAGAGACAAAGAGAACTGATTGGTGGTTACCAGGGGGAGCGGGGGGGTGGGGTGGGGGGAGGGCACAAAGGGTGAAGTGGTGCACCTACAACATGACTAACAATAATGTACAACTGAAATTTCACAAGGTTGTAAACTATCATAATCTTATTAAAAAGTTAAAAAAAAAAAAAAAAAAAGACTAGGACACTGAAGAACAACTGCATATACAGGGAAAATTAGAAAGTGAC